TGCTGCTGCTGCTGCTGCTGCTGCTGCTCAGGGTTCTGTGCTGGGGGAATATATTTATCATTCTGGGGAGCCGTTTCCCGTAAGAGGGGATAAATGGCTGCAGCTGAAGGTGAGGACAATGCATGAACATCACATTTACTGTCTGATTCATCAAGTTCATAGTGGGGTTCACATCCCTGCCAAAGCTTTTATTTGTGCAGCTCCATTGTAAAGCACTCAGTCGCCTATGGACGGCATCCTCGTTTAATCTGTATCTAAAGCTTTAAAAAGAAAAAATCAGATTTTAATCTGGCTTTAATGTTGTGATCGTCCGCTTCAGTTTTAATTAACTTTCCCAAATGCATTTGGGAAAAAAGGGTCAGCAAACGTCTGCAGTCAAAGATTTGAGTTTGTGAAAATCAATGGGCGTCCGTTACAATCTGGCTAATGTTGAAGTGGACTGATGTCACCCACGGAGACGGGCCTGTTATAGAACACCAAGACATTTCCAAAAAAATAAAAAAAACTGCTGACAGGTTAAAGAAACATGTTATTGGGAATACTTTACGTTTCCTTTGTTTTACAGACTTTTCCAAGGACAAACAGAATCCTCCGAGTTCTTTGATCCATCACAGGCAGAAAAACCAAAACAAAGATGCGTCGTCTCTTGTGATTCGTACAGGATGAAGAACTGTCATCACTGCTGTCGCACCACAACACATTCCATGTCATTAGCCTTCAACCAGTTTGTTAAAGCAGCAGCAGCAGACGTTTTTTTTTTGTCTTTCAGATTTTGCCTGAAATCCATCTTTTTTGTCAGCATCGACGGCTGTTTCTTTTTTTCATTTAGCATTCGGACCTCGTCATCGTTGATGTAATACGGTATTTCCTTAATGCTACAGTGTGTCTTTGGTTCGTCATTAACATCAAAGGTTCACAAAGTAGGGGTTTCCTTAATGCTACAGTTTGTCTTTGGTTCGTCGTTAACATCAAAGGTTCACAAAGTAGGGGGCGGTCCCTTCACTAGGGACCTGAAGTGAAAACAGGGGGGACACAGTTAGGAAAATGTCATCATTTTCAACCGCAGTTTTGTAGGAGATTTTTTTTTTATTAACTACAGTTAATAGCAGTTTCTGCTAAACATTTCTGAGCAGCTGGTTTACATCTGTCCACCTGCTGCCTCCATCTTTGATCCTGGCTCCTGGCGAGGCCTCAGCAGCAGCTGATGGTTGTGGTGGAGATCCAGGTTCATTTCTAATTTGCCGTTGGCAGATCTTTTTTTTTTCTGTTCCTCTGAAACGACTTCACTACAGTTTTGCTCAAACAAACCTCTGGCCCTCACTGCAGACGACACTCAGCCCTCCCTTATACATATTCCATTGTTTCTCTCCCCCCTTCCCTCCCTCCCACAGGTGCACCTCTGCTGCCCTCGTCTCTCTGCTGCCTTCCGCTCATGCCTTGATTTATCTCCCACTTCAAACCAAATCCCCCGCTCTCCCTCCCCTCTCTCCCACACATCTTCTCAATTCAACACTCTTGTCACTCTCCCCTCTCTTCCCTCACCCAGGCCTGTGGTCGCAGGAACCATGTCTTAGTCACTAGCATTACCTCGCTACCTTCCAGATGTGCTTGTGAACACAGTGGGAACAATCAGGTTGATTCATGGCTGCAGTCCCAGCAGTGCAGCGTGACACGGCTCTCAGTTGCCACTGGAGCAGGTAGTGATTTATTTCTGGTGCCTGCGTCGATGGTAAACGTAAGTGATGCTAATATTTAGGAGCAGATCCTTCGGAACGATGCGATAAACAGTGATCTCCTGACACTAAATATAGAATCACCGATTAGTGCAGATAAATTCATTTACAATTACATGAAAAAATATGTGCAGCTCTCCCTAAAAGAGAAGGAGATTGATGGCACTTCGTTCGTACCACATTATTACTTCATACGTCTTATTAATTCATCTACATGAAACATTGACCACTGGCTATTGGCTAATGCAGGGATCGTGACAGGCCATTGGTCAACACAGTCACACTCAGGCATGTGTGTGCCAGACCTTCAGTGCATCAAAAAGGAAAACATTACCCTCTGTTGGCCTTATTGATTTGAGCAGCAGTGTCTGCTGGATGAGTCATACTCTATGCAGATGATCTGAGCAGCGCGGCTTTAAAAGACACATACAAATGGATTGATATTTAAAAATTTATATATGAAGGGGATTTCTTTTACACATGCAGCCCAGCCCAGTGGGCTGCAGTTATTAATGCACCCAGCCAGCAGGGGGTGTTACTTCTTGCTCGACACACCGCAGTCCTGCCAGGGTTTCCAGGGATTCCAACCTGCAACCCTCTGATCACAAACCTAATCTTTCAACCTTTACCTCATTTTAACCTCATTTCATTCCTGGGATTTTTTTTCCTTTTTTTAACCATGATTCCTCTGTTCCTCATTTTTATGCAGCGCTGAAACATGACTTTTTCTACAGTGGTTGTGTTGGTGTTTATAGCTGTGCACGTGTCTGTGTGTTTGCAGGTATGGTGAACTACAGCGAGGTCTCCGGCTACCCCCTGGTTCAACACTGGAATTTACGCTCCGTGCTGTACCACGTCAAACTCAACCAGTGGGTTCTGTCTCAAGGTAATTCAACTTTGGGTTTTATTTTTGTTTTTTTTAAGTCAGTGCTGAATATAATAGTTTGTTGACGCGGTGCTGACGTGAATGTGATGTGTTGACAACAGGGATAAAAGATGTTCTTTTTACGTTTCTGTTAAACAGCGTAGCTGGATGCGGCCCATGAAGTTGGCAGTCATTACCCCGGTTTCCTCCGTCTCTTATCAGGACACATTAGAGCCAATTTGACAACGCGGCGCCTGAAGTTTTGGAGGATAATTTGTGTCCAATTAGACCTTTGTTAAACGTACCAGCTATCGACTGATTGAAGTCTGTGCTGCGGTGCCTGTGGAGAGTTCTACAGGGTAATAAATTGTCGAACTTCTCTTTTACATGGTAAATAAGCAAAATGCCACTTGAACTACGTGGTCTACGTGGACTACGTGGACAGTGACAGAGCGATGTGGGCCGCGGGAGACTTCATACGGGACACTGCTGACATTTCTCTCTTCACGTCATTCCTCTCACGTTAATCACCAAAGTTTTTCACTACAGGACACTGCTGACATTTCTCTCTCCATGTTATTCCTCTCACGTTAATCACCAAAGTTTTGAGCGCGTTTGGTCGTTTTAGTGATTAAAAACCAGGATTTAATTTGCAAATGTGATCGTTCACATCCAGACGTAAGAATGGAAACTGTTGGTGAACCCTGGTTTTATTTCCTTGGTCATTTTTTCTCTGGGTGAAAACGTTCTCAGACAGATGTTATCATTTCTAATGTGTCGGATATTAATTACTTAGAGAAAATATTTTCTGTACTTGGCCGACGTTTCTGCTGCGAAAACATCTTCCACTTCCTCATCATTCAGAGGAGAAACCACCGTCTTTTTCCTGAAATTTTGTTTTATATTTCAGCTCATCGTCTCGAGCCGAGCGCGGAGGAAGGAGGGCGTTGGTTTTTACATCTGATATCAAAGCTCATCGCTCATCCTCTCTGCCCCTCACTTCAGTGGCCGTCTAATTGAATTTAGGGGTGGAGAGGAGAGCGAGTGGAGCACGAGTGCTGAGATATTAATACTGCTTCTCCAGGAAATGATAACGTTAAACTGATATTGCGCTGCTGCTGCGCTCTCTGCCCGTGTCGGGCTCACGGTAATGACACGGTGGTGGCGTTACGGTGTGGTCAGTGTACGATGTCAGAGCCGCTTTCTTTACCTCTTTATTTCCTGGTTTGGCAGCTCAGTCGCTCACTTCACTTCATTTACATCAACTTCTCTCTGAGCTTCATGTCCTTTTACCAACATCCACCATTGTGAAAAGAAAAAGAGTCTTTTCAGTTTTACAGCGGGGTATACACGCTGCAGCGCTTCTCAAACTGAGGGGCGCGCCCCTGAACTATTACGGGAGGGCTGCACCGTCAGAATTATTGGTTTATACACAGAGAGAAAATGACACTGAAGTTAAAACATTCAGTTCTGCAGAAGTTTAAAATAAATATCAGCAGAGACTCAGGGCTAAAGCCCAGTTCCAGAACCAGAGGTTTAACAATTAATCTGTTAAGTGACTCGAATCCCAGGAAAAAATAGTTTGATTACAATCTTTGTTTTGGATTTTTTTTTTTTTTTTTTGTTATTAAATGATGCTGCAGTAAATATTCTGCCGTTCTGCTGCTGCGTTCACAAACAACACAGAGAAAAGGCAGAAAAGAGTAAAATAAAACAGTACAATTTTTGTGGTATTTCTGTAGCTGTGAAGACGATCTCTGATCCCTGTTGGTTTCTCTGTGGGTTTTCCCCAGGTCGTTGGTTCCTGGTGTCACTGACCAGTGGTTCATTCAGTTACTGACATTTATATCTGAACTTGTGCCCCCCCCCCTCTCCCCTCCCCTCCCTCCTCCCAGCATTCAGCTCGGCCATCCATTCCCTGGACGGGGCAACGCAGCGGGGTGACTTTGTCTCCATCCTCAGGGAGTTCGGAAACCACTTTGTGCAGGAGGCGGTGTACGGCTTCCAGGAGTCCTGCACCATCTGGTACCCCAACAAGCAGGTCCAGAGGAAGCTGTGGCTGGAGTACCAGGACATCAGCAAAGGTAGGACGCAACTTTTTATTCATCGAGCTCCGAGTCCGAGGTTTCCATCTGGAATGGTGTCGTTTCAGTGCAGAGACCGTGTTAAATACGTGCTGAATAGAAGGAATTGAACCCACACGCGGGGCCTGTCCTCACCTGGTCTCCCCCGGTGTCGTTTCTTTGTCGTTGTTCAAACCTCCACCTGAGGCCCTGCTTTGAACCTTCTGTGGTATAATTCGTTCTTTTTTGTATTTCTGTACAGAAGTACTGCAGTTTTCTTTGGTCACATTGTGAGTCGTACCCTCTCGGACACGTGTGTGTGCGTCTTTGAGCCGCCTGTGTCTGTGAGTTTGTCAAATGTAGCTCTGCCGTCAGTGGACTGACAGCTGCGTGGTGTCAACAGCTGCTTCATTTACGCTGATCAAATGCCGTTGGCATTTTACATCTGTCGGAGCAGAATACTTCAAAAAAACACACACTGTGATGCTGCTGAGTTTTTCTTTTCTTTTAACCATCTGGTTCCCTCCCCCCCCATCCCCCCCTCACCCCCCACACACACACTTACGTCAGCCATGTTGGGATCGCACCATGGCTTTGTTCTATAATTACATTTATCTGAAGCAATTATCCAACCACAACAACCCGAGTTCAGCAGAAACGTTCTGTTTAAGAAAAAAAAAGGAGACAAAGGCTGAACAGAACTTTGAAATACATAAATATATATTTTCCTACAGCAGATATAAATCTTGGCTTCCGTCAACATTTCACATCAGTTTCTTCCAAGTACCTGAAGTCATTTTCTTTCCGTCTTCCCGCCGTGCCGAGGCCAGTGTTTTGTCCAAGGACGACCCCGCTGCTCTGTGTCCTTCACTCACAGACAGCTCTTTACTGACAGATGGCGTTCGATGACAGTTTTCCAAACCAACCAAAAGTCCATCACTCAGACGTTGGCAGATGATTCCAGATTATCACGAAATGTCTTTTACATTTTTTTTCTACAATCTCCTGCGAAGACTACGATAATGTAGAAAATCTATAAATATCAACGTTGTGACGTTGTACCTGCGGACGAACGCTGTGTTTGTTATTGTTGAGCACATGTTTCTGGACAGCAGGGCTGTAATTGGATTAATCACAGCATAGACGAGGATCTATAACGATTAATCGTGATTATCTGTTTATTTTATTTTGTTGGGACAGAAACTCATACTACAGCTACCTGTGTGTGTTTCACACCTGTTTTTTTTTTTTTTTATATTAAATATCAGTGTCCGTGGTTCTGTACGGTCGCACCAAAAAAAAAGAAGAAGAATATTAAAAAAAAATCTGTGC